AAATCAAGTCTTTAAGAAGCAGTTAGTGGTCCAGGTTTTAAAATACTAAATATTAGCGAATCAGTTGAAGTGCCTCATGAATACCCACAATGCCCCATTTTGCAAAACTCACTTATGATTACCCCAAGGTTGTCTGTCAGAGTTAATAATGACCCCAACTTTCAATATCATTTCAAACTGAATTTTCAGTCTTTGAAACTGTTTTTACCTGCTTTCTGAAAACAACACTTGTCCTGATTATTGGGCAGGCGGGGGTGGCGGGGAGAAGCCCAGATAAGGCTTATATTAAAAAAAAAAAATATTATCAGAAAGAAAATAATCATAGCCACAACCTCTTCCCTCCTTCTGCCCAAGTGTTCTCAGCTTGGTGATTTGGCAGAAAGGGCCATGGGAGTGCAAGGAGCAGTAAAATGCAGGTTTTAAAAAGGGAGAAGGGGTGAAAGATACTCTTGATTTAATTATGTCACACTAAAAGTCCTCCTAGCCCTTAACAGAGGCCAAAAATAAGAAGCCTAGAGTAGCTACAACTTAGATAGTATATGTGATTATTTCCACTCAGCATTCATCTCATTTCCAGCTATGTGCAGCCCAAGGAATTCTGAACTTTGATGCTGTTTTTACATATTTAGTAGTCCTCAGTTCATTTCTCTTTCACAAACTTAAACATTTTCTCTAAACATGACTAAACTTTAAGCACCCAGAATTTCCCAAAGCACAGAGTACCACAAATTACCCAGATATTGTACAAAGAATTACCATGTCTTAGAAAGAAACAGTCCTCTTCCTAGTATGTCCTGATGATGCCCATGTCTTAAAATGGAGATAACAAATAACATCTACAGTCCACTCTCTCCAGCCACCCATGATCTTGTTTGTATCCTGATCTCACCTCATTAGGGACCCTGCTTTAAGCAGGAAGTAGGATTTGCTGATCTCCTGAGGTCTTCTCCAACCTGAATTATCCTGTGACTCTATGGTTTGCTTTATAGATTCCTGTACTTTCCCTCTACAGTTTTTCTTCTTCCACCTAGATGAATCCCAGCCAACTTATTTGTTCCTCATACAGAAACCAGCCCACACTTTTTGGGGAGTTTTTGTCCTTCTTCATTTCTACAATAGTCTTTCTGAGACATAAAAATAGAAGCCGCCCCAACATTCAAGATGGAAGCGATGGCATCGATTTTTGTAGCGACTTCACTGTGTTCCCTGCTCTCTATTCAATTCCTTACAATTCTTTACATTTGATCTGCTTTTTTGAACAACATCCTGTATTGAGATGATATTTTTATACAGCTATTTATCAGACCATAACATCAAGTTGTCAATTTTGTGTGGTACGAGCTCAGAGTTCATCACCGTCTATGGAAAGTTAGGACTGGTTTTCTTCTGAGGTCTCAAGAGTTCACTTTCTGTGGGAAATGTAGCTGAAGCACAGAGATTGCAACCTCTTGCTGGTTAAAGAGGCAAAATTTTGTTAAGTTTTTGAAAGGCACATATTCAGGGCACTTGGGTATTGAAACACACAATGTTGTAACACTCCCTGCTTTCAGAACCCATTTGCTGAGCAACATGAGCTTCTTCACAAGCCCGACATTAGTACTTGGCTACAGAAACCAATGAATGGGGAGAAGTGGGCACCTAAAGACTGGAATTCACAAACATCTACACACTGAGCATGCTGGGGAGAGCCAACACAAAGTGCTAAAGTCAAGGCATGGGTTTCAGTCTCAGCTCTCAAAAACTTTTCCTTCTGCTCAGGGTTCACAGCTCTAAGCAATTAGATACTCCTAGGCACCTAATGTAGACAGATCCTTCTCAGAATATAGAGAGTATTACACATTGCACTTGTTTCTTATTCTTCACTAGGGAAGGTGTAGGAGCTCTAAGTGCAAATCCTCCTTCTCGCTGATCAGAAGCAACATAAATGCTGTAGCCACAAGCGTCTGCAGGGAAGAGTATTGTTTCTTTTTTCCCAAAGCGCACAGCCAGCGTATGAGCTAGAATTGGAGGATCAAGAGTCCCAGCCAAGTGCCTCAACCTCCACATCAAGTTTTTTCTCCTTGGCTAGCAAAACCATTTCATCTAAAAATCAGCACTGACCTACACTGAACCAATTATTTGGTACAACAACATTGTGATGGATATGCTGTAAATTCACACCAGATTACAGATAATCACTGTCCTTTAACATAAAAAATTCCATGGCCAAAAGTCTCTTTTTCCTGAAGACAACTATGTAAGAAGAGTTTTTCTAATTTATGAATAAGTTTTGGGTATGATTCTTCTCATACTCCCATTTAACATACATATGCAGATAAAGCATATAGCAGAACTCATCTTCAATAGAAAACTTTATATATTTACTTATCTTAATTTCAAAAGCAATCTCCTAAACAATATGCCATAGTGAAAAGTCCAAAAATGCCATAGCTTGTAATGTCTTTGGTACATAATATATTGAGTATTCTCCTCACCACGGAAGCTAAACAAATAGAATCCAAATTTAGTAGATTTCATTCAGGAGGCAAATGGATTTGATTAACATCAAATTCAGCCGTCACTAATCCCACTTTCACTGTCCCTTTTCACCCAAGCAACACGAATATTTAAATTCTCCAAATGGTAAAGTTCAGCATCTTAAGCCCTGTTAAATCTTATAAGCCAAAGTAAATTTTATTTCTTTGATTAAACAGAGAGTCTTTACGAAGGTCATAAATAAATAGTGTGTGTGAGTTGTTCTTATATTTTTTCATACTGCCTGATTAAGCACTTTTTACTTTGACATCATTCAGAATGATGTTTTCTGTTACGCATTTTTCTCTGAAATAAAAGAAAAGGCAGTCCCTGTTGAAAGTAAAGGAATATAACATTTGAGGCAAGGAAACTTGCAAGAATGTGCAAACAGATCCATACCTTGCCCAGGGTCTCTCTGTACCACCTTTTCACCATGCTTTCCTCTTAATTCCTTCCTGATCACAGTTTTTTTTGAAGTGTGGTTCTCCCTCCAAGATGCTCAGTACAATTGTCTTTAGGCCTTCCCATTGATTCTAATACATCTTTACACAGAAAAATGTGGAAGTAAGAGAAAAGAAAAGAAAAAGGAAAGGGAAAGGAAAGAAGGGGGAAGGAAAGGGGAGGAGAGGGGAAGGGAGGGGAGGGGAGGATAGGAACCTAAATATAAACAACCCAGTAGTATAACTACTGGGAAAGGATCACTAGAGAGTCAATCAATTTTGATACCATAAGAACGGTAGCCCTCATTCCTCCAGTGGTTCTCCACAGAAAATTGATCACTGCATTATGAGAGCCCAACTAATCGATTTCTTCAAAATACTTGTTGCAAAAGGCCCTGTAAAAGTACTTTTACTTTGTAGAAGTACATGTCCTAATCTATGACAGGTAACAACACTTGTCATAGATTAAGATAGATTCCTCGAGCACTAGAACAGTTTAATTCTCATTTGCCATTTCAATGCCTTTTCCTTCTCTCTTCTGGAGTATTTCATGCCCACTTTTACATCTCCGGAGTCAAAAGAACTGAAGACAGTGGGGACAAACTGTTGCTGTGGGTGCTGGCCACCATCAGACTTGGGATACTTGAACATACAGAGCTGGGGGCATGGGTAAACTAAGTAAGCCAATGGACTCCTTCCCAGTTCAGTCATGAACCAATCAACAGTAAGAGAATGCAGAGTCACAGAGCCCACCTGAAGTTTGGTAGATCATCCGTCATATTTTCACATGCAGTTATCCACTGCAACTCTCCACAAAATAACCATCTCTGAGTAATGCCCAAGAATAAACACCACCATTTGAAAACAAAGACTCCTAAAGCATTTATTCATGTTCTAAACCAGAAAACAATTACTAACTTTGAAAAAAAAAGCACAAAAAAGAAAACAATTTTGAAAGCAAAAAAAGGAAATGCAGCAGTACTAGAACACAGATCTCACTGCTGCCTTCTAATGTAGTTGTCAAGACAATACTCTTACATAAGAAAACACAACAAAATGAAAATTGACATCTTTGTCTCATGGCTGTCACTACCCTTCTGGTGCAACAGCAGGCTGAATACTGGTTAAGCCATTTCATCAGTTAGATCAAAACTCCACACTACTGCTATGCAAGTTTCTTCAAAAAGTAAAGTTCAAAAACAAGGCTATTATTTTGCTTTGTGAGTAATAAAAGCATATAAATGATAGAAAAATCATAGAAAAGGAATATTTGTCCTTGTAGAAGTGAGGCACACTGCCACGGGAGGGATTTACAGGTATTTTTAACACAGTAACTCAAGCTTGCGCAGAAAACTACCACCTTGACAATTTTAGTTTTTCATTTTAATAAGCATAAAATATCTTAGGAGACAGATGAGAGTTATGTAGTATCCTTTCCACCAATGCGCCTGCGCTATGTAAAGTGCATTTGCAAAGAGCTGAAAGAAATTTAAATCACTGTATACTCAGTTCCAGAAGCTGCTTCACAGATTAATTTTGACCCAGTAAAAGAGTCAAGCACATGCTCAACTTTGAGTAAATAAACAGTCCCACCTAACTGTCTGATCACAAGGCCCCACACTTTTCTTGACAAATTATGTAGCGCCTGTCTCCAAAGGAATCAATGAAATAAAAACAACCTGGCGTGGCAGCAGCAACCCATATTTCATTAGTGCTGTGCATAATTACAAGATAAACTGATTACTTCTAACTTGCCGCTGCAGAGGGTACTGTCTGAATTTACGGGAAGCCAGTCACTTTGGAATAAAGATCAAAAAGTTTCCTCTTATGTATAGGAAAGAGGGAATCTACACATCAGGAGTTACTGCAGTTAGCTGACTGAGTTCATTCTTTACCTTGTGCCACAGTAGCTTGCCTGTTCACCCATACCTTAAGGTGTTAATAGCCTTGTTATTCAGTTCTTGGATTTTTGGGGTTTTTAGCCACCTAGATTTGTAATGAACTGCAAAATGAAGGAGAATTATGAAAAGAAAAGAATAATGTTACCTGAAGGCCCTCTATGGCTAATCTAAGCATGCTTGGTGTGAGTTTGGAGGCCTGCTTGAAGGTGAAGTTGCTCCAGTCTATAATCAAAACAAATCCATTCACTTGAAGCTCGGGGTCTTCTATCATGGCTTCTAAAGAAAGAAGTATGGCGCGCAAAATATCCACCAGCGTGTACCTGAGAATGTGAAGGGGAGATTCTGTTAGGAAAGGAGCAACAACCACAGAGGTGGAGAAGTTCTGAGCATTCTCCCCTTCTCAAAAGTTTAAATCAAAGGAGAGCAAATGTATCCTCAGAAGTCATCGGTACATAAAGCTCAGAAAGCCTCAAAAGCTTAATTAGTTGAGCTCATCTTCTGGAGCAGGATTATGTACATCTAGACCATCAGCCACCCAGAACAAACTACAAGAATATAACACATCAAAAGCAAATTTGAACTTTTCTGTAGTCTCCTAAGCTGCTTTAGTATATTTACATTTTATTACACCTGTACAAGCATTTCTATGCAAACTGCATTTTTGTAAAATCATAATGATACCAAAACCTGATTCTAATACCAGAAGCCTAGACCCAAAGATTCCTCCTATATTTTTCCAAGTGAATAACAGCGCCTACAAAATTATCAGCTAAAAAACGGATTTCCACATGTTCCCCTTATCCCTCTCTCTGTGTAACGTTTTATCTTAAATCCACAACTTCAGAAGGCTAATTTCTCAAAGATCTTGAAAGCAGAAAGTAACACAGTAGGGCTTTGAGGTGTTTCTGGGTAAGGGCAACAGCAACCTTTTAAGAGTCACTTAACTGCTTCCAGAGTACTAAGTACTTTGTACACCCAAATTTTGTGGTTACAGAAGAAAGTTTGGAACATGGTATTCGTCAGTTCCAGCATTGTCTGTATTAAACTTGGGTTTAAAAGATGGCCCCTACAGTATGTTTTACATATATAAACTTTTACATACATAAACTTTTCTTAGACCAATGACTTTATAAAAGAAGATATAACTATATATTGCTAAGCTCTGCTGAGTGATATCTTTCTTTTTGGAAGCTAAGCCACCTAACAGAGTTGCTGAATAGCTTAAATATATGCAAGCAATGTCATCTTTAGACTGCCGTATAATAGAGTTATTAATCAACTGATAGTTTAGCTTATTGTATTTTTTTAAAATAAGGCAAAACACCAGAATTGTCTGGGCTTTTTAAAGATATATTAAAGTTGTAGTTTGACTTCTGATTTTTTTTTTCCTGGGCTAACTATGTTTTACACGTCAATATTTTTTTAATTAACATTTTTTACAAGGTCATGTAGTAATAAAACAAGGGAGAATGGTTTTAAGCGGAAAAATCCATGTTTAGACCTGATATTAGAAAGAAATTCTTTACTGTGAAAGTGGTGAGACCATGGAACAGTTGCCCAGAGAAGCTGTGGATGCCCCACTCCTGGCAGTATTCGAGGCCAGGTTGGATGGGGCTTTGAGCAACCTGGTCTAGTGAAAGGTGCCCCTGCCCGTTGCATGGGGGTTGGAACTTGATAATCTTTAAGGTCCTTCCAACCCAAACCATTCTAAAATTCTCAGATTTTATAAATAGTTACTGAAACAGACATAAATTTTCCAGTTCCAACACAGTATCAAATGAGGCATAAGAAATTTAAACCAGAAAAATATCAGATAAACAAATACTCCATAAACAAAAGAGTGAAATCTTCAGCATTTGTGAAGATATTTTAAACAAGGCCATTTCAATGTCTCTCATGATGGCATCAAACAGGGTTTTCAAAATTGTGAGTCCCCAGAGAATTCTTCATTATACTGCATAGGTAGCAAAGAGTATGTATGCCTACTTAGAAATTACATTAAATTATACTGAATTCTGCTTGCTTTAATACAATTAGTACTCTGTTCTGCTGTGGGCATAGCTGTATTTTGAAAGTATCTGCAAAAAGGAAATAATACAAATGAAATTAATTTGTTGTAGCTGACTCCTCGTATCTTTCCATCTTTGTTTTTTTTAGCCAACTAAAGCTCAGTGCACTTCTCAACTATGCATTCACAGGAAAGGAACTAAAAAAGGACTCCCTAATGTCAGAACACAAGAAAGTGTGTTTTCCCCAGAAATCATTAGCGGTAGCACTGTTTTAAAAAATTCTTCTCTTCATTTTGGAGACCCTTATTTTGTTTTGAATTTGGTTTAATTAACTGGGATGGAATTTTTCATAATCACTCCTCTCCTTCATACTATTTTGAGATTTAACTTTTTTCTAATGCTTTACTTTTCTGAGATCTAAGGTTTAGAGGAAGTTTGGCATTCTCCCTCTTTTTTGTTCAGGTTTTTTTTCAACTAAGAGAAGAAACAGCACAAAAAAATTATCTGTAATTTCCCTATAGAAATCATCAAAATGCTAAAATTCTCTATTTCCTTTTAGCAGGGGGAAAAATAAAGAAGGAAAAAAGAAAAAAAATAAAGACCATATCTGCAAATGAAATTTTATCCAAGGAGAAAAAAGGACATGCCTTACAACCAGTTTCAAAGAAATTTTTAAAACTTTCAATCTTTAACACTGTTAGTGCAATTTGATCATCAAGGAACTGCTGGGTCAGTTTTTGCAGCAGGCACAGTGCCACATGCCCAGAGCGCTCTGCCAGCCCTGGGCAAACCTGCACAAGGGCACGGGGGCTGGCGTGGGAGGGACAACAATTCAGGTATGGCATTGCTGATGTTCCCCTTCTCCCCAGGCAGAGAAGCTCCCCCCAAGCCCAGCTGCTGGGGAAAATGCCACCATCACTGCAAAGGCCTCTGAATAAGCCAACAAACGCCCCCAGTTACACAGTGCGAACAGCAACCTGAAATAATTCTTATGGACTCTTTCCCAAACTACTGTGCACACGTATAACAGGACATGTAGGGAGTGTTTGGCAACATGAAAAACTACAGATAGCTGTAGTGGCACTAAAAGCCCTTAGCTTGCCTAGTGCATCTGTAGACCAGTTTACCTATCCAGTACAACACTGGTGAACGGACAGTGGAGGGCACCTAATCGACGTGGGTACTAAAAATTCCCTCTGTGACATGCACTTTGTACAACTGCCAGCATCAGGATTAAAACACACAGCCTGAAGGAAGGAGGTTTACAGAGTCATGTTCGGGGTTGGAGCTGGGTTCCGTGTGGCAAACTGCCTTTAAACTCCTGGCTACTTCCACCAGGTGGTGTAAGTCTCAGAAATTTTTTTTTTTTTAATGCTTCACGAAATTAGAAAGAGTTACAGCATGTAAGAGGCCTTCCTAGAGGAAATGCTGAACTGAGAAGGAAATTACAGTGAGTGAAACACCGAGAGAGCAGCTAATGCCTCAATTCAAGGAAGATCTCCAGTGAGAACTCAGACAAGAAACAGACATTAGAAATGTTCAAATCCTAAAATTAGCCTCAACCCTACTTGACATTTATGTTGCCTCATTCAAAAAATCTCATTCTCCAGGAGAAGAGCTCTGCAAAGCAGAAGGCTGCTACAAGAGCCCTACATTCAGTCCAGGAAGAAGGGTCCCAAGGTCCTGATGTATGTCTCTAATGTTTTCTCTAAGAAGTTCAAGAAGACATCACATACCCTGGATTAATGGCTTCCTAGTGGCACAAGGCTGCTAGAAATCTGGTGCATCAGACATAATGATTCTTTGTTTATGAAGCCAATCAGGTCTCTAAGACTGGTCATAAAAATGCTTTTCTTATGTGTACATAAGAAATAAATACACAGATGTATACATGTAAACAAAACCATACCTAATTATGTCTTGAATTAATTCAAGACAATGGGAAAACTGTCAGGCATCAATGGGACCAGGATTTCAGCCACCACAGAGAGTAAATAACAGTCACAGGGCTGGGTCTCCACAAATCTATGGCATATTCACCATCACTGTAACTCCTATTGCAGGTTTGTATAGTGTAAAAAATACAGTTCACAACAACGACAATATTTGTGTTTACTCACTGAAAACTGACATTAGTTCTGAAGAAAACAGGTCTAGCTAAAAGCAAGTAAGAATGCTTCCTGCCAGAGGGAGGTATCTAAAGTACTCTTTAAGTCTAAAAAGCCACATCAGGAGTATACAGGGACATGTCACTAACAATCTAGCTTCCCACCTTAAATACCCTTCAGGGCAAGTAGTTGAAGATTGGAGCTATTCTTCATTCTATAATGGGTATCTTGTACTGGTTTCAATACCTTACGTAAGTACAGTACAGAACACCAGAAAGACAGACAAAGCCATTAGTGGGTATTTAAAGCAGGTTTTACTGTGGACACATGCTGAGACAAGCCAGAAATGTAAACCTGGTGTGATAGATGAAATCTTAGGTGCAAATGGCAAGCAGAGTATTGAAAATATCAGTTGAACATCCCAAGCAAACAAAACATGATTGAAGAAACTGCATGGAAGCTTTCACACAGCACAGAGTTATTAGCATACAGGCACATCTTTAATCCACTCCATTCCTACGTTGTCCAGCATTTCACTTCACTGCTACTACTGTTCATGTCAGCACTAGAATGCATAGGCTTTGCCATAAAATACACTCCACCTTTGGCTGGACTTTCGGGAAATTAAAATCCTACGTAAAGAGATATTGGGAAAAATTACTTCGGATCGTGTTGCCGAAACTTTTATTCCACACTGAAATTACTTTCAGATATAGAAATGTGATGAAAACAGGATAAGCTAGTGAGTGTGAAGTAAATTTGGTCCAAGATATCTCTGACTGCCTTTCTACTTCGAAGAAAAAAAAGAAAAAAAAAATCAACCTATTAGTCTTAACTATGAAGAAACTATAGCGCACAGTCTGACGGGAAGATGGTATTGTTTTATTCTTACTAATCCGTGTTAAATAACAGCAAGGGAACAGTTAGCCACTCATTTTACCCTGGCCTCAGTTTTACAACGACTGCTCCAGTGCTGTCAGGTATGTAGGGTGTGCTGGGCCGGATAGGCTGCAGTATATGCTCTGTAGTAGCCTGAAGTTAGACAGTGAAGAAATAAATCCTTATTTATTTATGGCTAAATCTATTTGCATTCACTTGTTTAAACAGACTTTTATGGGACATATTGTAGTTAGCAAGGTATTACTAATTCCTATGATAATCAGGAACTCATAGTTAATTTAAATGTATTTCATTCCGTCTATT